CCTGAAGGCTGGAGGAGTAATCTGGGTTGAATACTAACACACACTCAGATATATGCAGCTTTGTGTCGGATGATAAAGCTGTCACGCCGCTGCTCATCAGCTGTATGTATGCGCCAGTAAACGTCCGTGGTGTAAGAATAAAGGACAGCCTGTACAGGCTTTGCAGTAGAACCGCAAATCTCTTTGCAGCAACATCTGGTGCCATCATGGAGAACCGCTGAAGAGCTCTGCTGTGTGAAAGTAATGTGCTAAACATATAACAGCCACTGAACAACAGGACAGACGCCTGGACAACAGGTGCTGTAGAGTAAGTTCAGTGTAGTCGGTGATGTTCCAGGTCAAACTAACAGAACTGATTTTAAAGAAGGAATTTGAGTCTTCGCTTCTATCGTTTAAACATCGTGCAACAACTATAAAGTGCACAAAAGCCTCTCCTCTAACATTGATATTGTTTGGGGTTGTGTGAGGACCGTGTTTGTGCATTCAAACTGAACAAACTTGAGCTTTGGTGCATTTATTGAGCCAGCAGGTTCAAGTAGCTGCATTGGTGTGGCCATGTTACTTCAGGTATAAGTGAAACAATGAAATACAATCAAGGAAGGCTTATCAGATGTCCAAACACTGCACAGCCACAGAAATACAGCCTGAACATTGCTGTAAAAGTCGAGCCAGGTTCAACCCCCCCCTCTGCACCGGCACTCCACCATCATTGAAGTGAATGAAAAGGTTGATTCATTCAGTGTCAGTCTGAACCTCGGCTTAACGTACAAACTATCAGTTTACATATTGACATGTGTCTTTTGTGGAATATCAGTTTCCTGACATAAACGGCCTATTTAAAGACGTGTTTACTGATATTATCCAAACAGCACCAACGGTTACTACAAAGAAAGAGAAATCTAATTTATTATCTTGATTACAATCTGATGGTGTCATTTTAAAGGAAAATTACTAACTGGCTTTTGCCTTTACAAGGAAGTGATGTTAGGACTTGCCATTGTGTGTGTTGCCTGAGGTCCACAGACTAATCTGCTATTGACTACAATGTAAGGGAGAAGAGGAAATGGGAGGATTTGATTCTGCACAATGAATAGAGACTAAATCTCTACTTTGTGTGTGTTTGTGTGTGTGTGTGTGTGTTTGTGTCTGTGTGTGTGTGTGAAGTAGAAGTACAGAAACCAAAGTAACAAGCCTGTTTTCAAAATGTAAGGAGTTGAAAGTACAGATATTTGTGTAAAAATGTTGATGATAACAGTAAAAAGTTAAATACAGTAAAGTACAGATACCTGGAAATACTACTCAAGTACAGTAACAAAGTATTTGTACTTCCTCAACCTTCTCTTCTGTCCTCTGGATGGAAATTTTCTTTGGTTTGCAGATTGCGTATGTGTGTGCGTCATATTGACCATCACTTCTACATATTTGCTTTCATACTATTACTATTTGCCTCATTTCAACTGACATCAAAAGGCCTTTTCATAAAGCGCTGTTGACACTCAAACATTGAAGCTGGACACGCAGGCAAGTGCGGAGAATGGATGAGGATGCTGTTCAAGAACCGGAGAGAGAGAGAACGGAGGGAAAGAAGGTGTAGAAATTAAAGTAGAGCTTTAGGGAGGGAGGAAGAGAGAAGTGATGATTGATGGGAGGTAAATGCTGAGGTCTTGTTTGAATGTAGAGAGAAAAGAAGAGACGCAAAGCAGTGTAAATGTGAAGATATTCCTAAAATAAAAGTTTATATTTTTCTATATACACAAGATACAGAGCTGTGGGGAGGGGGAGGAGTTATTTTGGGTGTCCGAAAAAAAAAAGTCCCATTCAATTCCAGCATGGATGAAGTTAGATGACTGGCAGATGGAGCACTTAAACAGCCTGTATGGGCATTAAACTCTCTCCATTGTATTGTCTGTACAAGGGATGAGCAGCTGTGTTAGACATTATCCACCTCTTGGATTAAGAAAGGGGAAAAAAAACAAGTTAAAAATGACTCAGAGAGGTTTTTGGTATCAAACGACAGGCGGAAGTTCTATGAAACATCCATCAGCTCAAATCAGTTCACTTCTGTATTCAATTTAAGAAGAATTTAGAAAGCGTGGCGCCACGTTTTGTTCCTAGTTGCAACAAGAAAGTGTTCTCAAAGAGACCTCCGACTGGCTTCGTCTCCATAGCAACTGTGACTGAGTACTTTGAGCCATCCACTGTACCAAAACCGATAATAAGAAACAAAATTAAGTTGAAATAGCTCAAACTTTTGTTCACAACATAAACCGATAGTATTGTTTAATTATACAGAAAACAAGCATCTCCTGGTTTATGAAGTCGTACTTTTTCTGATTTGATCTCATTCTTTTGGTGAATTAGTATAAAATAAAAAAGGGATAAAGTGGAGGTTTAACCTTGTGGCCATGTGATGCGTTTGTTGCCTTGACGATCACCAGTGAAGTTGCCTCTGATGTCTCTCTCTCCACCTTGTTATCACCCACCTGCTTCTGTTTTCAGTCACTCATCTTCCCAAGACCTTGACCAGGCTACGCTGCCCATCTCCCACCACATGCCATTTTATAAAGCACACACACACACACACACTTACAGCCTTCTTCTTGGTGTAATTTTGCTCATAATGGCAGGAATATTAGGTGTGCGTGTGTAAGAGAGAGATGCTGACGGCATATTTCACGAGGTCAGGGTGAGTGCAACAGACCTGAGTGGCTTCATTCTTGAGTTCATCACATGAAGCCTGAAGAGGGACAGATCAGCTGATAGGACAAGGGGTGTGTGTGTGTGTGTGTGTGTGTGTGTGTGTATTTCCAGTAATTCCAAACAGCCAACGGGGATCAGATCTCAGAGAAACAGACACATCCATCCTTTGCTCCACTCTGCTGCAGATATCACTTACATACTCACACACACCTTCCTAACCTATTAATGTTATCACTGACTGCGATCAGAGTTAAACACAGATGTACACACACTTCCTGTTCAGTCACAGTCGCCACCTGTGAAGCGAATGCAGGCAGATTCAACATTTGATTATTTGAGGATAAGGCGTTCAGGAACTCATCTGACTGAAAAACTGCAGTGACCTCGACCCTAAAGATAACACGCTACTGCTGCTGGAGCCTAAACAATGCTGAATATTGAGTTATTTAAACCCAGATATACAAACTGAAACAAGGAAAGGTCCATCAATTAATCAACAAGCAATCATACTTGAAATGGAAAAATTAAATTTGAATATTAGAGAGTTGTGATCAAGGTGGAGTTTACCCCCCTTTTCTGTCTATCTTCAGCTGTCACTATCTTTTAAAAGCAATAAAAGACCAGGAAAAAAAAATCAATAATAACAGCATCAACAAAAATAGGAAAATAAGACTTGAATATGTAAAAATGCACTCTATAAGACTAGAACTATAATAAATGACACTGTTTATACAATAAAATGAGTAGTTTGTGTTGTGGGTAAGCCTGAATTATGAACATCAAGCAAAGTTTTGCTACTTAAAATACCTTTCATTAGTGACTGTGTGGTAAATGAATGTTTTAGGTGGGGAAGTTAAT